TGGAGTATGAGTAATATCTTCATTCTTTGCAGTTTGTCACAGATTAAATGATAAAGTTTGCATGATTTTGAAAAAAGAATGATTATTAGCAAATTATATGGGGGGGCTGCAGCCCCCCCCAACCCCCCCGTTGCTACGGCCCTGGGCTAACTAACTTTATACAAATTCTAGATAAGCACGCACCTTTTAAAAAGAAACGAATAGGTAAAAAGAAGTCACCATGGATAACCCCCGATGTTACTCAAAAAATGAGAGCTAGGCCCACTAGGCTAGGGATAATTTGAAGAAGCAATATGATTAGAATCGAAACAACGAGCTTTGGAAACAGTACAAAAATACACGTAATCATGTAAATAATAGGCCTATTATTAAACTGGCTAAATGTGACTATTTTAAAGACAGAAATGATGTGGCCAAGAAAGACCCGAAGCAAACTTGGAAGCTCGTAAATGAGCTAAATTCTCGTAAAACTAGTAATGCAGCCACTGTGAAAGAAATTAAACTTCCTGATGAAGAAGTAACAAATGCATCCGCTATTGCAGATGCCTTTAATTCACACTTTACTTCTATAGATGAAAGGCTTGCTAGTAATATAGATAGTTCAAACACCGATCCCACCTTTTATATCAAACCTACAAAAACAGTATTTTCTTTCAATCGAATTGAAACACATAATGTAACTAGTACTCGTTTGCTTGAAAATATTAACTCCAATAAGGCCACTGGTCTTGATGGTATTCCAGGAAGAATTTTGATGTTATCAGCCGATGTTATGTCTCCATCGTTGACTAAAATATTCAACCAATCTCTTATTCAGGGAATTTATCCAAATGATTGGAAAATTGCTAAGGTCGTCCCTATTTTTAAAAATGGAGCAAGGAATGATTTGAATAATTACCGTCCAATATCAATAATTTCGGCTGTTGCTAAAATGTTCGGCAAATTAGTGCATGATCAATTTTATTGCTACTTAACACGCAAATGAAAGATTTATTGTCGAAATATCAATCCGGATTTCGACCAAATCACAGCACTCTTACCGCTATGTTAGAAATAACAAATAGTTGGTGTGTAAATATTGATAACGGCCTCTTTAATGCAGTTGTTTTCATTGATCTAAAGAAAGCGTTTGATACTATAGATCACAACATACTTCTGATTAAATTAAAACATTATGGAGTAGATGATAATGCTTTGACATGGTTCCACTCATATTTAACAAATCGGAAACAAAAGTGTTTTGTCAATGGGAACTTTTCCGACAGTTGTCCCATAACTTACGGGGTTCCTCAGGGCTCTATTATTGGTTCTCTTTTGTTCTTAGTCTATATCAATGACCGGCCTGAATGCCTGAATGAGGGGTTACCTAGAATGTATGCCGATGATACCAACATAAGTTTTCAAAGTAGTAAATTTGATGAGCTTGAAGATCTTTATGAACATCGAACTTGGAAAACTAAAAAGAAAGTCTTAATGTTAATAAGTTAAGTTTAAATGTTGCTAAAACTGAGTTCATGGTTATCGGTTCTCGTCAAAGACTTGCAACATTTGATGACCATGAAATTAATGTTTTTGTAGGCAATGATCAAATTGAAAGAGTCAAAAGCTCTAAATTTTTAGGACTTAAAATTGATGAAAACTTGACCTGGAAAAGGCATATTGATGAAACATGGCTAGATATCTGCGACAACATGGCCGACATGCACGTTAGCTCCTTTGTATAATGTAAATATAAAGTGAATAAGTTTAATAACCAGAAAAGCATTACGTTAACTTGCATTTTCGGCTTTTGTTGGTCCTACAAACCAAATATGACGATTCCATAAATCGATCTTGAATGATAATCGTCGTAGCTACGTAATTGTTCACGTTTCAGTTCAAAATCCGAAGCAAAACAATTTTGCAGTAATTTGCACATATAATCACGCGCACTTTACTAGTAATCCAGGTTATTTTCACGACGAAACCCATAATCGCTAAAGTTTTCAGGCTGATCGTACATCAACATTGGATTTCCATAAATCGTAATCGATACACTTTGCTCTCCCCACGAATTTTATCACAATTTTATCTAAAGATATTATATCAATGCTGTTCCCAAGTAGAGGAAAGAATGGTATATTTTGCCTCTATTTTCCATTTTAAAATCGCCTTGTTACCTCGCTAAAACGCGATCCAAGCGCATCGAAATTTTGCTTTTTTTCATATTCTTGTTCGTGATTCATATTCTATAAAGGTGAGATAATATCAGCTAGTGACATAAAATATTAAATG